TCTCCGGTAAGTTCCTGGCCCAGGGCACTTTAGGGGACTGGGCAGCCCTGCTGGAGGGGTCCCAGGCCCCTGCTCCTGCCTCCCCCACCCACCTCCTGAGTTCCTCCCGGCCACCAGGCCACCCTCCATCTGCGTCTGGGGCAGTGAGCTGACCCGCTGCTGCCGGCACAAGCCGACTTTCATTCTTCTGTTCACGGGGATAACCCTCCATTGTTCTTTGCCAATGGCCTTAAAACGCGCCTGTTACCTTCCGCAGCCTGCTGGCCCCGGGAGGGAAGCCTCCAGCTCACCCCAACTCTGCTTGCTCCTGGCCAGGGGTAGAGAGGCAGAGGGTGGGGGCCTGGGGGTGTCAGGAATGCAGTCTCCGTGCTCAGGGAGGCCAGACGCCACCCGCCTTCAGCTGCAGCCCTGAGCAGGGCCTCAGATGTCACAATATTTTATGGGGTGCCCCTCCCTCGGCTCCCTGGCAGGGCCACCACATGGCTCCTGTGCCTTTTCAAGCCCCATCCCTCCGTGGAGTGTGTGGCTGTCCCTGTGCCTGGACAGATGGCCGAGGTGCCAGAGGTGGGTTAGAAGCAGCGGCTGGCCTCAGGCCCTCACAGGCCTCATTCAGGGAGATGACCCTGTCACCCCCTGAGGGCAGAGGAGACAGCAGGGCACTGGCGGGATTGGCTTTTAACCCTTTCGGGGACAAGATTTCATCTGTACGCTTGTCCATGTGGGCAGTCCCAGGGGAGCAGAGGTCTCAGGTTATTTGTGTGACATCGGGTTAAAAAAAAAGATCCTTCACTCTTTGGGGGCAGTTTGAAGTCTCTCCCTGGAAGTGTGCGATCACCTGCATTCGGAAGCAACAGCCTGTAATAATGTGATCAATACGTGGCCTTTCATTTCCTTTTTTTGCTTAACCATAGAGGTGGATTTAAAAAAATAACAGCCATTCTTTGTCTGCAGAGGAGATGTCTAAACAGAAATTACGGGGTCGAGGTTTTTATGAAACCTTGGTGGACCCAGCTTCCCAGAGTCACTTGTGCATCTGTAGGGGACCCCAGGTGAGGACGGCTGACCCCCTGCCACTGCCCACTGGACGGCCAAGCCATGACACTGCCCCCCCCACCCCAGACTCTAACTTATGGAGTGCAGTCTGTGGGCAGAGCTCCCTGAGGCTTGTGTGTGCCTGTCCCCCTGGCAGGGCCCAAGCATGCGTCCCAGACGGGCTGCTGGCTTTGTGCTCGGAGACACAGCTTTCTCCAGATTTTCCGATCTTCAAAGCAATGACATGCCGTGTCAGATCTGCCCATAGTCCAGGCACGTGGCAGGCGTCCAGCATGCAAATGAATCGGACGCTTTGCCTGTGGCCCGGGGCACCCGAGCCAGCCTCCCCACACCCTTGGGAGGCCCAGCAGGTGCCCGCACCAGGCAGGTGTGTAGCTTGCCATATGCTCTGGCGAGCATGAGCATCGGGTTTCTGCCAGCAACTTTCAATGGCCCACCAGGTGAGGTAAAGTGAGGGGAGAAGGGCCCCCCACCTCCAACCTGTAGCTGTGCCTGAAGCCCTCCGGCCATGGCAGCCTTGAACTCCCAGCCACAACAGGCAGAGGAGTGACAGATGTCAAGGTGGGGGGATGCCCCGCCCCAGTGCAGCCTGGCTCTCAGACGGCATCAAACCGGATCATTGTTTTCAAAATCTTCTGCATTTCAGAAGGAGGGAACACTTAATGGTTAAGTGCCTTCCAAATGCACAGCGTAGCCCAGACATGGGGCAGGAAGGCAGGAGTTCAGGGCTTTGCCCCCATCTGAGCCACCTGCTTGGGTTCCTCTGCAGGAGCAGTTAGATCAGGCCCTCTGGAGTTAGGGCCCAGGCATTTGCAATCTTTGTTTCTCAAAAACCCACGAGGTTTCCAACTTCCCACTACAGTAGCTACCAGTCACATGTGGCTACTTAAATTCACTGAAATGATTTTTTTTTTTAATAAAAGAAAGTTTGTCAAGTTGCCTCAGCTGCATTTCCCAGGCTCCTTGGCTGCACTGATGGGTGCACGTGAACCTTCCATCATTGCACAAACCTGCCAAGGGCAGTGTCTATAGAGAATCCTGCAGCTCCTGCTTTCCCAAGTGGGGGTGCCCGCTGCACCAGGGAGGTAACAGAGGACCCCTGCAGCTCGGGGGAAGTGGCTAGACCCGAATCCTTATTCCCCAGTGCCTTAGGCCTCTGGGACGCAGGTGTGCCCAGAGGAGGCTCCAGTCAAATCCAGCTGCCACCTCCTTGCAGTCCCAGTGCACAAGCTGCCCCCTCAAATGCCTTAGTGGCACCCCCTTCCCTGTACTAAGCTTGCCCGGTTCCACCATGTGATCCCTTTGTCTCTGGTCATGCATGCCCTGGACACCCTTCCCCTACGTCCGACTTAGTGCCAGAACTTCTAGAAAGTAGGGATGCTGCTAAGCAGCCCCCCAATCGCGTGGCTGTCCCAGGTGCCCGCGGTTCCAGGTGAGGACACACTGGCAGGAGGGAGCCCGAGGGCCTTTGTCTGCCCCCACCTGGGTCTCACCCTGTCATTTATCAGATGATCATTTTTGTAGCAAAGGGACCCTGCCACACGTCTGGCATCTTTGAAAGATGGTTCCTCCAAACGGGCTCAAGTGCAAATCAGAGTGTGGGGCGGTGAGCGGGGTGGGGGGGAGGTGCAGGGTGGGGGTGCAGGGGTGGGGGGTTGGAGCAGACAAAAAATACCTTCGGCGGCCAGGCAGGGCGGCTTTTCTAACAGGGCAGGATTTCACAGCACGTGCTGCCAACTGTTGCAAAAAAAAAAAAAATGAAAGAAAGAAAGAAAAAGAAAACCCTAAGAAGAAAGAGAGGGGGAGATGCACATATTCCTGCAGCCCTGCAAACGCCTCTTCCTTCCTCATTGTTCCCCAGAGCGGCAGCCGGCCCGGCCAACAGCTGTGCGTGGCGTGTATCACTAACAGCTGCTTTCTCCTGGGGTGAAATTAAAAGATTAGGGGGTGTGGGCACGTGCTGGCCTCAGGAGCCCAAACAATGCTTGATTTAGGGTGAAACTAGTTGGGGAGGCTGACAAAGGAGGAGGCTCCAAGTTGGCCAGGGGTCAGCAGGGGGGTGGTGCTGGCTTTGACAGAGACAAAGGAGGGAGCGGGCGGGGGCAAGGGCTGGGGGAGACGGGCCCAGTGAAAAGAGGCCTCGGGAGCAGCTGCTCCGGCCCCAGAAATTTGAGACGGGTCTTTTCACAAACACAAATGCAGGAGAAGAATGGGGAGCCAGGCTTAGCTGAAATGGCTCGTTTGCAAATGAAAGGGAGATTGAGAGCCCCTCCGTTTTCCAAGTTTTCACCTAAGAGGACGCAACACGATTAGGGCTGGGGACGTGTGCCGCCGAGCAGATGGGCGAGCCACCCCGGCGCAGGGCTCTGTGTTTACATAACAATCGTGGCCGGGCGGGGCGCCCCAGCCCAGCCCCGGCACATCCAGCGTGCACCCTGCTGCCCCATTTCTACGGGTGCAGTTCCAACCGGGGTCCCGAGGAGGCAGGTCTTGGCCTCAGCCGGCGTGAGCTGGGCTCAATCAAATGCACCTCATAGCCAGGGAGCAACCAGGGGCCTGCCAACTGCGGTCAGCGGGCCATCCCGGGGTACCCAGGCACGTGTGACCCCCGGGAAGGACGTCAGTCTGACCATTCCAACTTGCTGTTTTTGTCTAGTGACTGATAAGACCCTGGATTGGCCGGGTCGAGGGGGCCCTGGGTCATATTTCATCTATGGGTGACCACAGGGTCTTATTTATTTCCCAGGCCAAGATGCCACCAGACAAAGGATGGAAATAACTGGCCGCACCCTATGGGCTACAGTGGCTTCTCACAGACCTTGGAGGGGGCAGTGAAGGTTTGGGATTTGCATTGGTGATGAGAAGAAGGGGAAGCCTCACTTCTGAGAACATTTCTGCCTCAAATGCACAGACGGAGCTAACCTTGCAGGCACAGCGGGCAGCCCTGCATGACCTGTGTTCCCCGTGATGCCAGGGTCCTGGAAGAAAGGGACACGGGGGACATCTCTGCGCAGCACTGGGACAGGCCAGCTGTCCGTGCGTCCTGCAGGGCATTGTGGAAACAGCTGGCGAATTTGAATAAGATGAGCAGGTCTCATGATAGTGTGGCATTCCATGTCAAGTCCAGGTTTTGGTCATTGTGCAAGTGGATCCGTAGGAGAAGGCCTCTGGTATTTTGGGAAATATTCAGTAAGTATTTAGGATAATGGTGGCTCAGGAAATAGTACATCTCTCTTTATGTACATCACCTTCCATACCCACAGGGGATTGGTTTCAGAATCCCCTTGGATACCCAAATCAGTGAATGCCCAAGTGCTACAGTTGCAGAGGACCCTAAGCACATCCTCTTGGATACTTTCGGTCATCTCTAGAGGACTTCTAATTCCTGATACAGTATAAATGGTATAGGAATATAGCTGTGCCAGGAATCATGACAAGAAACACAATTTTGACATGTTCTCTACTGAAGCAATTTCTTCCTCTCCCCCCCAAATATTTTCAATCTGAGATTGCAGAGAGGACAAAGAAAGAAAGCCAAAGTGGTAAAATGTTAACATTTGGGAAATCTGGGTAAAGGTCATCCGGTAATTGTTTGCAATCTTCTTGCAACATTTTCTCAATCTGAATGTGTGTCCACATACAAAAACTAAAAGGGGAAAAAGGGGGCAATTGAGGGACAGTGCCTGTGAGGTTCATTTTGGTGCTCTCCCAGGTGTAGGTAGGTGCACCTGGAGTCTGCCTATCCTCAGGGCCAGGGCAGCTCTGAGTGAAGCCTGACAGGCTTAGTTCCTGGTCCACCTGCCTTGGGGCCCACTGTCCCCCAGGTGGATGGTGTGCAGGACCAGGTGGTGCCGCTCTTTAGGGGCACACGTGCAGGCTTGGGGCAGCCTGAAAGTTGGATGCCTTCCAAAAGTTGACCTGGTGGAGATGCCCAGGTCTGTGCTTTGTGGCCACAGGAAGCTGTGGATGGAAGGTTTCCACAGACGCAAACCCACAGCTGACCCTGGGCTGGGGGTGAGGTGGCTCAACCAGCTAACGGGGGTGGGGGGGGACCACGACTCAGAGAGGTTCCCCACTTCCTCAGTGACAACGACGTCTCAGGTGCTGTTCCCAACAGGGAGCTGGTCTCCTCATCCACAGAGTTGCTATCACATTATGGCATTAAATTAAATGGCTTTCCCTCGAGGTCTCAGCTCACCTTCCGACCGTCACCTGGAGAGGTGGTGAAGACAGGCCCAGTCCCATCACAGATCACACCTGAGTCCCTGGGGAGGAGGTGGGAGAGGAAGGGCACCCCTGAGGTGTACTAACTCCTGGTAGGGGCTGACTTGGAACGTGCCTGCCCGCCTTCCGGGAGTTTGGACCTGGATTTGTTCTTAACTGGAGTGTGTACATGACTTTCTGCACTCTCTCCTTGCTGCCTGAGTCAGCCATGGGTGGGGATGTGCTGGCCTGAGGCTTCAGGAGAAACCACCCCAGTGTCACAGGCTGGAGTTACGGCAGATTCTGTTCGACTCCTGGCTGCTGGTCGGTGTGTAGAAACCCCGCGGTGGTGTGGCGGGTGGCATGGTGAGCCAAGGCCAGGAAGGTGGTGTCTTCTTAGGGCAAGGATCCTGGTGGTGCAGACGGGCAGGTTTCTCCATGACTCCCTCGAAGCCAGCCGTCAGGGCCCCGGGGCTGGTGATGACAGAGTGGGAAGGCTTTGAGGAGGCCCCACAGCCCTGGCCTCTCAACCTACAGACTCCACCGTGTTTACTTGGGCAGTTGCATTGAGATGGCTTCCTTCCTCCGATGTCATGGCTTGGGTGTGGAATGTTCCCCCAAAGCTCAGGTGTTAAAAATCGTGGTCCCCAATGCAGCCAGGTTCAGAGGTGGGGCATTTAGGTAACGATCAGGGATCTGACCTCATCATGAGACGAATCCATTTGCTTGAATGGATCCATTGGGGGCTGAATGGAACTCCTGGGAGCTGGGACCTAGTTGTTGGATCAAGTAGGTCACTGAGGGTGTGCCTTGGAAGGGTCTGTCAGTCTATGGTCACTTGCTTTCTCTGCCTGCTCCCTGGCGGCCATGGACTGAGAGGTTCTCCTCTACCACACCCCTCCGCCATCTTGTTCTACTTCACCTCTGGCCCAGAGGGACAGGGCTGGCGGACAAGGACTGGATTCTCTGAAACTGAGCCAAGGTAAACTTCTCCTCTAAGTTGCTCTTGTCCGGTATTCCTGTGACAGTGAGGAGACGCTAAGTGACACACCTGGTGTTTCAGGCGGATGGCAGGCAGGACTACCCTCTTTGCTTTCTGTTCCGAAGGTCTCAGGCTCCATTAAAAAACTGCCCCTGGCTGGTGTGTGTGTCCTTTACGCCGTGTCAGATGTAGCAGGACGGTTTCCAGGACACAGTAGATGGAGTTTGGGAAGACGGAGTGGACCAGCCACTTGTTCTCCACGTCCAGGACCAGTACCCTCACCCGGCTCCGTGAAAAGAAGAGGACATGCCAGGAGGACCTGCGGGACCCATGGGATCCACTTTGGAGTAAGTTATTTAGAAAGGAACACCTCCACACAAGCTCTGCCTCTGCTCTGAGAGACGGTGTGTCTCTGGCTCCAGAAGGAAGGAGAACGTGCTCTGTTATACACAAAGGCAAACGGAAGCCTGCCTAGGAGAAGCCCCTTGGCTGACATAGGAGGTCCATTTGGCTTTGGGTCCAGCTGATGAAAGGGAGCTTGCCTGTTGTGTTCCAAACTGACCATCATAAAAACCAACCAACAAACAAAAACCTGTGAACAGGGAGGTAGAGAAGAAGAAGCCTGGATCGTTCTGTCCACCGCAGTTCCTCCAGCCGGCTGCCCGCCCAGCTCTGCTGTGAAGGAGCTTGTGGAGGGTGGTTAAGCAGAGGATCTGCAGGGCAGAGCTCCTGAACTGTTGAAGAGAAGTCACCCAACAGCAGGAAGTCACTTTGCTGCTCTTTGATAAGGTCATTTCAGTTCTTCTGTGAGTCTTCAAATACGTGGCTTTCAGTGTCAGAGAAAACTTTGAAGTTTTTTGTGGGTTTCTCTGTCATCTCGGAACTCTCTCTCTCTCTCTCTCTCTCTCTCTCCTCTCTCTCTTTTAATGAAATAGAGCCAGGGGAGATGTGTGTTCATTGCAACTATTCAGTCTTTTTTTGGTGGTGGTGGTGGGGGTATCGGGGATTGAACTCAGGGGCACTGGACCCCTGAGCCACATCCCCAGGCCTCTTTATTTTATTTAGAGACAGGGTCTCACTGAGTTGCTTAGCACCTCGATAAATTGCTGAGGCTGGCTTTGAACTCGCCATCCTCCCGCCTCCCTGTCCCAAGCCTCTGGGATTACAGGCGTGGGCCGCTGTAATTGCACAGTGCAATCATTCAGTCTTACAAAAGGAAATCCTGTAACTTTGGGCAACAGAGATGAACCTGGAGTGAAATAAGCCGGGCACAGAGAGACACATGGTGCATGACCTCACTCATTCTGGACTGTAGAAAAGTTGAGCTCATATAAATAGAGTCAAATGGTAGTAACCAAGGGCTGGGGACAGAGGGGGAGTGGGGTGATGTTTTCCAAAGGGTACAAACAAACTTTGGTTCGACTGGGAGAATAAGTTCTAGAGCTTTGTTGTAAATCAAGGTGACTGTAGTTACTAACAAGGTAGTGTACACTTGAAAACTGCCAAGGAAACAAATTTTAAGTGTTCTTACACACACACACACACACACACACACACACACACACATATGTGAGGTGATCCATATGTCAAATGGCTTGATTGGGCCAATTCACAAAATATCAAAACATCATGCATCATAAACAGATACTCTTTCACTTGTTCATTTAAATCAGTAAGTTGATTTAAAAAAAAGAAGAAGGAGGAGAAATGGGACAAGTCAACAGAAAAAACACTCTGCCTTGCCCTTCCTTATGCCCTCCCAGATGCGGTGGTGGCCTTGGCGACAGGCAGGTTTCAGGCCCGCAGCCCAGGGTCCTGGTCACTGGGAGCTGGCACCCGCCTCCTGGGCTTGGAGGGCAGCAGGGGGTGAAGCTGTTGCAGATCACAGGACACAATTGATGGGGCCTTGAGCGGGGCCTTGAGTGGGGCTGTGAGGCGCTGGCTTCAGACGTCCTGGGGCGAGGCGGGGGAGGTGGGTGAGGCCTGGGGAGGCGGGTGAGGCCTGGGGGAGGCAGGTGAGGGGGCCGACCCTGAGGCCTGCTCAGTCCCTACAGTCAGGTGAGGCCTGGCTCCCAGCACCTGCTTCCCCTTCAGAGGTGGCCTGGAGGGTGTGCTCCTGGACAGAGGAGGGTGGCCCTGCAGGCAGACTCCACCCACTTCCTCCACCCCCTGAGGAGGAACTCTTCTCTGCCCCGTGGTGAGTGTGCTGCCTGAAAGCTGGATCGTGCTCTCCTTCTGCTTTTGTGCTAAGAACCCGGCAGGGAGTCCGCCTGCTGGATATGAAATTTAGAAACTGAGCTGGGCCTGGGTTAGATGGTGCAGACCTGTGCATCCGGGCACTCCGGAAGCTGAGACAGGAGGGTTTGAGGCCAGCCCAGGCAACACAGAGGGACCTCATCTCTCACCACACACACACACACACACACACACACACACACACACACACACACACACAAAAACCAGTGTCCTTAAAAGAGAATGCAGAAATGGCACAGTGTCCCACCCAGTGGGCCTGAGGCCGGTCAGTGGCCCTGACTTGGAGTCCTAAAGTGCCCTGTCTGAGCTGTCGTTTCCTGATCTTGAGTTGGGGAGCAGGTAGAGCCCCATTACTCTGAGCGCTTGCAGGCCGGCTAGGACCATGCATGGCGGTCAAGGCTTGTCTCCCAGAAGCCCAAGGAAAAGATCTACTAAAAGTTAACAGTGTTCCCGATGGTCTTCATTCTCTACGTCTCCATACCTGTCATTTTCCTGTGTGTAACTCCAGTGGGACTGCAGAAGAAGGGTCTAGTTTAAGGAACTGTGCATTTAGGAAACTGTGCATTTAGGAAACTGTGCATTTAGAGGTAGAGTGTTCACCTAGCACGTGCAAGGCCCTGGGTTCGATCCTCAGCACCACATAAAAAAATAGAAATATAGA